AGAAAGAAAGAAAAGAAAATCTGAAACAGCTATGATCGGCGCATCACTAATTAAAATACTAAGTAAAAGGCCTCAAATTTGAAGTACAATCTGGGATGTCTTTTTCTATCAATTCTTCAATAGGTAGATCTTGTCTTTCATAAAGGCCGAGGTCAGGGATCTTGGGCCTAAAAAGGTTGGTGACCACTGCTCTAAAGAAACAGGATTCCCTAAATTATCGTCATTGATATCGTTATCGCAATAAATATCAGAAATTATCGTGATATATTTTTAAGCCCATATCGCCCATCCCTAGTCAGTGGTAAAATCTCTGCAGCCTCTTTTTATCCAATCTGACCAAAAGAATGCATCTAAAACCTGCTGGATATATTATGATACATTCCTCTTCCACTTTCCTGAAAAGATTGTGATTGTGTAAAGTTTATATTATGGCATGTCGTCTTCACCAGGGTAGTTCTGCCATGTTGCTTTAAATCCTTGTTCTTTAAGACAGGGGTTTTCAAACTTATTATATTATTATCTTATATTCTTATATTATATATCTTATCTTATATTATATAAGAAACATGTTGACTTTTGTATCGCCACTGTTCTAAATTGTGTTATTTTACTAATATTTATGTACGATTAGTATTTATTAATATTTAGCTTTTATTTACATGTTTTTAGTTATCGTATGAATTTTAGTTTAAGTTTGAGTAATTTTGTCACTTTTTTTGTTTTAGTTTTAGTAATTTTAATGCTTCAACTTATTTTATTTCAGTTAGTAATCGAGGTAACATTTCTAATTTTCATTTATGTTTTAATTTTAAGTTTTCCAAATAATGTTTAGAATTCATTTTATTTCAGCTTTATTCCAATTAATAACGATTTGTAGGGTAAACGTACCTATTACTAATGGGAACAGGGGTGTGCTTAAAGTGTACAAAAATGTACCCATTAAGCACAGCCAGACTTTTTGCATTTAATGATGTATATCATTCTTAATCAAAATGTTTTTGTAATTTAAAATAAAATTAAATATTTTTTGTGTGAGAGATTAATATTTTATTGTAACATAGCATCTTGTAGTGAAACCAATATCTTGTGCACTAAAAATGTCTCGATGTAGATTTTGGTGAGCTTAAGTTCACATCATGTTTTATTAAAAATTCTTGTTCATTTTAAACAACCTTTTTAAAGAATAATTGAAAAATATTTTATTTGAAGATACAAAGTCTTCAATTTTTTTCGATATGGCGCACAATATAGGCACGTGCTATGAGTGACGCAGACCGCACACACAAACACGAACACATGCTGAAATGAGTGCTGCTCTCACGTCTCACACAAGAGATGTATAGAAAGCCATGCAAAGTTAAAACAGTTTAAACTTTTAGAAAACTCGTCACGAATTTGTGGAGGTTTATTCCTTTTCACTGCGTCTTATATTTTTAAATGCAATCTGCGTGATGGGCGATTCGGCTCTTTGTATTAAGCAATGCATAAATACAGGTGCATCTCAATAAATTAGAATGTCGTGGAAAAGTTCATTTATTTCAGTAATTCAACTCAAATTGTGAAACTCGTGTATGAAATAAATTCAATGCACACAGACTGAAGTAGTTTAAGTCTTTGGTTCTTTTAATTGTGATGATTTTGGCTCACATTTAACAAAAACCCACCAATTCACTATCTCAACAAATTAGAATACTTCATAAGACCAATAAAAAAAAACATTTTTAGTGAATTGTTGGCCTTCTGGAAAGTATGTTCATTTACTGTACATGTACTCAATACTTGGTAGGGGCTCCTTTTGCTTTAATTACTGCCTCAATTTGGCGTGGCATGGAGGTGATCAGTTTGTGGCACTGCTGAGGTGGTATGGAAGCCCAGGTTTCTTTGACAGTGGCCTTCAGCTCATCTGCATTTTTTGGTCTCTTGTTTCTCATTTTCCTCTTGACAATACCCCATAGATTCTCTACGGGGTTCAGGTCTGGTGAGTTTGCTGGCCAATCAAGCACACCAACACCATGGTCATTCAACCAACTTTTGGTGCTTTTGGCAGTGCAGGCAGGTGCCAAATCCTGCTGGAAAA